ACCTTTTAAATTAATCGAGATTGAGAAGGATGTCACCGCTATTCCCAACCATAGTGCAAGAAGGGAGGAGGTCCCCATGCCCAAGCTTCAGGGCTAACCTTGTTACCATACTCCCACATGCAATTTCGCCGATCTTCTTCCCCTTGGTGATTGATAAGCAATTTTTGATGAAGAAGTAGCCCAAGTTCACTCTCCGGCCTAAGGCAGGCTGAGTAGCGAACCACAGAGTGAGAATTTCCTCTCTAGACATCTTCCCTAAATCTTGCTTGTTGAAAATAGCATATCCAAGTATACGGTGCAGGATTCTTAGGGCCGGGTGAACTATCTCACTAGCTTAGGAGTAACGACCGTTGAATTCTTATTTTCTCGTGATCGCTCTCCACCAATTTATATCATTATAACCTTCGAAGGAGGAGTTCTCGGGAGCGATAAAGTTGGCATGTGGATTAAAGTCCAGGGCAATGTTGAGTTCTCTCAAGGATAGTGTATGAGTTTTGTTGAAAATCTGGAAGGTTACTCTGAAGTCATCATCCCCCACAGCTTCATAAGAGAAAGTGGGAAAGAATTCAAGAGTTGGCTCAAGGTAGGTGTTGAAAGCCGAGTTCATAAAGGTACCCAAATTGAGGTTTTCAAAGAGTACCCAAATGTCTTCGTCAACACCTAAGCTTGTGGTGGCAGGACGGTGATAGTGTTTGGAGGGTTTAAGCTTCCTCTCTCTCATTTTTTTGTAATTGGCTTCGTGGTTTTTATTTTGGAAGGTAAGAGGGGGTAGAGGTGGTTGATTTTGCCCGGCAACGGCGCCATTTTGATGAGAGGTGAATAGCTAGGTTGTTGGACTAACTACCCTCTACCAAACAATATTTATATACCTAAACCTACACCAAACAAGTCTAGTGATAAGTAAAAGGTCGATCCGCAGAGCGAATTATTGTATACACTACCGCTACTAAGCTAGGTCAAAGGATATGGGGGAAGAGAGGACTAAATCTAAAGATAGAAGACTAAAAACTAAGGAAAGGAACTAAGAAACTAAATCACTAGGGAAGAGGAATCAAGGCAATCAATGTGACAAGCACAAGTATAGCAATGAACACGGACATTCTCAATAACTTGAAAGGGGTGAAGCTCAATCATCTAGGTCTCTCCCGAGCACGCTACACAATCAAGAACCCAATCCCGGCCAAGGGCTCGTGATCAACTCAAAGGGTTCACTTCTACCTAATTAGCTCTTTCCCAAGCAACTAAATGGGTAGCAATTAGATCATCCATTCAACCGGCCAAAGCGAAAGCAAGCATTACACATACCTCAATGAGCACATCCAAATCACTAAGAATTAATCCGCACACACCACTATACTAGCACTAATCAATCGCACGCAAACAATCATCAATAATCTAATTGGTCAAGTCCATAATATGGAGAATTGCCTAACAACCTAGGTCACTCCCGCACACACTAGGCCATTAAACTCTCAGCCCCGCCTATGAGGTCGTGGTCAACTAAACAATGAAATTCTTCTATTAAGCTAGCTCACTCCCGCACAACTAGCACAATAGCGATTAAATCATGACATCAATGGGCTAGAAAGACATCAAACATTAAGACCTTCATTTTTAGTTCAATACATCAACAATTCCAATTAAACCATCAAGTAAGTGTTCATCTTGCTCATCAATCACTAATCATCCCTAACCCTAGTTAAGAATCTACTCTAACATAATTAAACTAACAAAATCAAAGATTAACACAAATTAAACTAACAAGAACAACAAACATTAACCAACAAAAAGGAACAAGAGAAAGACTAAGAATAAAACCCAACAAGAAGAACAAATTACCAAAACTAATATACTAATCAAGCAAATAACTAAACAAAGCAAGAATTAAAGAAAGCAATAAATGAGATAGAGTTTAGAATGCTCATTAGATTTATGAAGAGTAATCCAAAACAATGTCACTTTGCATTTTCATCTTCTTCAATCATCCATTTAAGCACTTCACTTTCTCTCTCTAAACTACCCTAAATTACTCTTAATCTACATTACAAAGTATAAAAACAAAGATTAAAACTAAATCTAAGCCTAATTTATGTGAAGATTGATGGAGAGATGTTAGGGTTTAACCCCTCAAAGAGGAGAGAGAAAACCCCAAAGAAACCCCCAATCAAAACTTGGCCAAAAAGAGGAGAGGAAGAAGCCTTTAAAAGACCCGTAGCTGCTCGTGCGCGCCCGCGCACTGGGATTGGCCTGACAGCGACATTCATTTTCAAACGGTCATAACTTCTGTTCTAGGAGGATTCTGGGGGCGTGCGACCTACCGTTGGAAAACTCTTCAAGTATAGTTTCCAATTCAACTTAAATCACCTAAATTCGATATGTAGATCAAAAGTTATGGCCAAAACAGTGAGCAAAGGTCGGTCTGCGCCCGCGCGAGCCATCTACAGAATCTTTAACACTTCATACACCATTTGCGCGCCCTCTACAAGCTCTCTCACTACTCCTATCTACAGCAAGCTATATCCTTTGTCATCGAATTTCTTGTGCAAACTTTCTCGAGGATCGTGTCGGGCCTCCCGTCCATTGGCACCTATCACACCTAGATATGTATCGTTGGGCATCACGATGCATGGTAGGCCACCAGAGTAGAGATTGAGAGATTTTAGCCACAGTTTTAGTTACACCACCATGTCCTCCACACGGTAGTGAATGGCAATGTTCGAGCACGCTCTCAATTTCATGGTCCGGGACACACCTCCGGAATATATCATCCCCACATTGTTTGAATAATAATGGGTCATCCCAAAAATAACGCCTTACTTCCTTGAAAAATCTCTTCTTTTGCTGAGATGAGTATTGGTATGGGATAATTCCACTAGCTAAGTAATTTGCGAAATCCGCAAACCACGGGCTAGGAGAAGAAGCGATAGCCATAAGGGTCTCAACACCCATCTCCTCATTTATCGGAACACTTTCAACATTATTATGTGGTAATCTAGACAAGTGATCGACAACATGGTTCTCGGCCCCCTTATTATCCCTCATTTCGATATCAAAATTTTCTAGAAGGAGGACCCATTGTATTAGCCTAGGCTTTGCATCCTTCTTGTTCATTAAGTACTGAACCGCAGCGTGGTCTGTGTACACTATCACTTTGGAGCAAACAAGATAGGACCGAAACTTGTCCATAGCAAACACAACTGCAAGCATTTCCTTCTCCGTAGTAGTATAATTCTTTTGAGCAACATCCAAAGTTCTACTAGCATAGGAAATAACACGCAGCTTGCCTCCTACTCTTTGACCTAATGCGGCTCCTACTGCAAAGTCACTAGCATCACACATTAGTTCAAATGGCAACCTCCAATCTGGAGCTTGCACAACAGGAGCAGATGCGAGAGCTTCCTTGAGCTTGTTGAAGGCTCGAAGGCAACTCTCATCAAAACAAAAATCTTTATCCTTTTGAAGTAATCCGGTTAAAGGTTTGGATATAGTAGAGAAATCTTTGATAAACCTCCGGTAAAAACCCGCGTGCCCCAAGAAAGCCCTTACTCCCGTAATGGAAGTAGGTGGGGGTAGCTTGGTTATTGCTGACACTTTAGCCGGATCAACTGCAATCCCATTTTTTGACACTTTATGGCCGAGGACAATCCCCTCCTCAACCATAAAATGGCATTTTTCCCAATTTAAAACAAGGCTCATCTCTTGACATCGCTTCAAGACTTTTTCAAGGTTAAATAAGCACATGTCAAAAGAGAAGCCACCCACACTGAAATCATCCATGAATACTTCAATTTCATTCTCCAACATTTCAGAAAAAATGGAGGTCATGCATCGTTGGAAGGTCGATGGGGCATTGCATAGTCCGATGGGCATCCTTCGGTATGCGAATGTCCCATACGGACAAGTGAAAGTGGTCTTCTCTTGATCCTTAGGGTGGATTGGGATTTGGAAAAATCCCGAGTATCCATCTAAGAAGTAATAGAAGGCATGCTTTGATAACCTTTCCAACATTTGATCGATGAAAGGGAGAGGGAAGTGATCTTTCTTTGTATTTTTATTCAACTTCCTATAATCGATGCACATTCTCCACCCGGTCACAGTTCGGGTGGAGATGTCCTCTCCCTTCTCATTCTTGATTATGGTCATGCCACCTTTCTTAGGAACTACATGAACCGCGCTTACCCATTTGCTATCGGAGATAGCATATATAATTCCCGCTTCACGTAGTTTCAAAATCTCCTTTTTTACTAACTCTTTAAGGTTGGGATTCAACCTTCTTTGAGGCTCAATGGAGGTGGCATCATCATTCTCAAGATGGATTCGATGCATGCACAACGAAGGGCTAATACCCTTAATATATCAATGTTATACCCTATCACATTTCTATATTTTCTCAAAACAACAAGAAATTTTTCCAAATCAAGCTCATTAAGGGTAGCATTGACAATAATAGGGTATTCCCCTTCATTTCCAAGATAAGCATATTTCAAAGAAGGGGGAAAGGGTTTGAGTTCTACCTTGGGAGGAGGCTTAGAACACTCCTCCAATTTCTCCTCTTCCAGAGCTAGCTCATCATGCTTAGGATCGTTCTCTTCCTCTCTTTTGGCTTCTTCAATGGTCATGACAAACTCCTTTGCTTCTTAAGAGTAGTACTCTTCCTCGCATGTAAGAGCTTCAACCATTGGATCTTGAGGACTCATCATAACCCTTCCCAAACGATCTAACTCCTCACTCACCACATCAACCCTATAACACTTCTCAACCATGGGGGTCTTGAGTAGTTTAGAGAATTCAAAAACAATCTTTTCATCGGCTACTTCACAAGTAATGGTATTGTTTTTGCAATTAATGACGGCCCCCAATGTCTTCAATGTCTCCCTTCCAAGAATCAAAGGAGTGTTCTCATCCTCCTCCATATCCATCACAACAAAATCACAAGGTACATAAATGTGTCCCACTTGAATGGGGACATCTTCAATTTCTCCGCAAGGCAACTTAACCGATCAGTCGGCTAGTTGAATGGTCTTTCTTGTGGGTATCATCTCGATATTCAATTGTTGAGAAATGGACAATGGGATTAGGCTAACACTAGCCTTAAGGTCGGCTAGAGCTCCTTTGGCTTCCAAGTTGCCAATCTTGACCGACAATGTGAAACTTTCGGGGTCTCTTTGCTTCTTTGGCATCTTATGTTGAACAAGCGCACTCACTTGATGTGGAAGCGTAATAAATTCATCTTTGAGCTTCCTTTTGTTCGATAGGATATCTTTAAGGAACTTCGCATAAGATGGCATTTGCGTCACCACTTCATGGAAAGGTAGCTTGATGTGTAACCCTTTCATCACATCAAGAAATTTTGCAAATTTGTCATTCAATTTTCGCTTCGCAACCCTCTCGGGATAAGGTACCGGATTCTCATACTTTCTTGTGTCAATGGGGTCCTTACCCTTGGACTTCTTGTCTCCAACTTCTTTCTCAAAATTTACCTCCTCATCTCCCTTTTTATCCTCCCCTTCTTTCTCTACCTCCTCACTCCCTTTTGGGCCTTCATAAGAAGCACCCGATCTCAAGGTGATCGCCTTGCATGTGTCGGGTTGTTTGAGGTTGTGAGATGGGTTTGTGTTTGATTGTCTGGGTAGTTTAGAAGAAGAGTTTAAGGATGAATTTTCGGCCACTTGAGCTAATTGAGAATCAACTATCTTGTTGTGAGCCTTAAGCTCTTGGATTTGTTGGTTCATGGCTTGGAGTTGTTGGAGAATTTGGGTTTGTGTTGAGTCGGGTTGTGATTGTGTTTGCTCTTGATGTTTTTGTGGGTATTGGGTTTGATTTTGGTAGTTGGATTGGTTTTGGTAAGGTATTTGGTAGTATCCTCTTCGGTTTTGGTTTTGTGGTGGGTTTGGTGGTTGTGGATTGAAGGGAGGCTCAACATGTTGTTGAGGTTTATTATTGAAGCCCGGTGGTGGTTGCCTCCAAGCTAATCCACTATTGTTCCCCCTATAACCATCTTGTCTAGTATTGTAAGCATTAATGTGTTTTGGACTCAAACCCCCACAATAAGAGGTATCATGGTTTAATCCACCGCAAATTTCACATGAGAAGGCATTGACTTGGGAGGAGCTTGAACCGGCATTTCCACCCGCATTTAGTTTTTGCAACCCCTTGTTCAAAAGCTCGATTTGATGTTGGTGTTGATCAACTTTTTCCAATTCGTATCTTCCTCCCTTTTTTGCTTGAGGCTTCCTTCGGCCTCCCCATGAGTAATTCTTTGGAACTTCTTCTATTGTGGCTTCAACTTGATTTTGAGGGATTTTAATCAATTGCCCTCCGGCTCCCGCATCTAGGTTGGCTCTAGACATCGGCTCTAGACCATCGTAGAAGAATCTCATAAGCAAACTTTGGTTGTATTCATGGTGTGGGCATGCTTGAACTAATTCCTTAAATCTCTCCCAAGCTTCTCCCAAAGTTTCATCCGAATCTTGCTCAAAGGAGGCTATCTTCCTTCTCATCTCGGCGGTTTTCTCTTCGGAGATGAATCTCTTCAAGAAGGCCTTCACAACCTCCTTCCATGTAGTGAGAGAATTGGGCTTGACATATTTGAGCCACTTCTTTGCCCTTCCCGTAAGGGATTGTCGGAAAAGATGCATTCGTATATAATCTTGGCTAACTTGATTTGTTTGTATCATAGCACATAGTTCAAGGAATCGATCAAGATGCTCTATTGGGTCCTCACTTGGGGATCCGGAAAATTGCTCAGATTGCACCATCCTTGTGTATTGGGGATGGATGGTGAAGTTTGTCTCGGTAATAGGCAACAAGATGCCTCCGGTGAGCTCATATCCCTCCGGATTCCCAAATTCCCGAAATAAAGAAAGGTCATCCTCTTGCTCATGCTCTGCCATATCGGTAGTAGCTTCACTAGCAAAGGGAGAAGAATCACTATCACAATCAAGTATCGAACCAAACCCTCTGTTATCTTCGTTAAAAAGTCTTCTAACTTGTCTCAAGGTGCGTTCGAGCTCGTGATCAAGTGGATATGTAGGTGGTCCCTGTGATCTCCTTTGCATTCGACAAAGCTAAACACATGATTAGCACTGACAATCACAATCAAATGACTCAAAGTAAAAGAAAATAAGACTCTAAAGCAACACAAAAGCAACACAAATTAGACCGTTTCCCCGGCAACGGCGCCAAAATTTGATGAGGAATGGAATGTCGTCGTTAATACACTTTTCCTATCAAATTAATCCTAATTTACCTAAACGAGTATAAAGGCAAGCAAGGGTCGAATCCACGGAGAAACGGGAAATTGTGAAGCTAAGTGCTAACGAAAGAGGCTTGAAAAGGGTGTATATGAATAAGAGTGTAGTAAAACCAGGCAAGAAACAACTAAGGCTAACAAAATTACTCTAACAATTAATAAAGACTAACAAGGATTAGAAACTATGAGATTAAAAACGCTAGGGGGATCGGGGGAAATCAAACTTGGAGATTAAGAGCTAAACACATAGATAATCAAGGATTCACAACCAAGGGATCAAAGATCCTACTTAACACAACCCATTCCCATGCAATTGATTAAGCAATATATAAACTACGATCTATCCTAACATGATCACTCCTGCGCATCAATTAGGACATGTAATAATATGGTCAATGGTGCACAACATCAACCATATAATAATAAGCACAAGTTCATACAACAAGGGTTTAAATCCCCAAAAATAAAGTATTTAATCAAATAGCAACCAAGTAATCCATTCCCCTTCCCCTAGCTAAGGTCTAGCCTAGGAGAGAGAAACTACCCATATCAACAATACCCAAAATATTGGCCATAATCAAAATCATAAACATATCTATCATTAATACTTGAAATATATAAATAAACCAAAATAAAAGAGATTAAGATACAAAGAGCTCACAAAGCTTCAACTTTGTATTGAAATAAGAAAATGGGTCTTTGAACCTTCAATGGTGAACCACCAAAAATCCAATAGAATGCTCCAATATTGATTACAAGGATGATTAAAGCACTAATCTAGATTATTAAAGACTAAAGTTTGGATGATAAAAAAACTAATAATATGAACTTTCTCTCTCTAGAAACTTATACAAGCATTAATGGAGGCTATTCTCTCTCTAGAAATGTTCTAAGCACTTTTCCCTAAATGGAATAACTGCTTTCTTCATTCCCCAAATCAACATTCAAATAGGAAATAAAACGGGCTGGCTTGACGGACGTGCGCGCCCTCTACTTCGATCTGCGCGCCCGCGCAAGGTACTGTGCGCGCCCTGTAGAGGGCGCGATTGCCATCTACAGAAAGTTTTCCTGATTTTTCAAGCCAAGTTGCGCGCCCTCTCCAGTCATCTTCGCGCCCGCGCAGGTCAGTGTGCGCGCCCTCTACAAAGCGCGCGAGGCATCTACAGGGGACACAATTCTGATTTCATCTCGATTTCTCGCCCTCTCTCTTGAATTGCGCGCCCGCGCAGAGTGGGAGAGAGGGCTCTCCTGGGCGCGCAGCCTGATCAGATGCTCCTCACTTGATTTGCTCATGAAACCGGCTCTCGAAACTATCACAAACTTTCCTCTACTTCACGTATCGATCGGTTTACCTGCAAAACACAAGAAAACACCCAAAAACAGTACAAAAAGGTAAAGTAGAGGGGAAGTACGAGGGAAATGGCATTGTTGTGCAATATATGGGGAAGCACGGCAAAATAGGGCTAAACAAGCGATAAATGGAGGGAAATGGTAAGGAAATGAATCCCGAATAGTGGCATAAATGCCACTTATCACTAGCACATCGTTGGACATAAAAAATATGGCCAATCCAAACAGCATATTCGATATTTTAAGTTATTCAAATTCCGAGTTCTAGCGAATATGGGTTTGTTTTTTAATCCTTGAATAATTGTTTTTTATTGTACCATATCCATCAATTGATGCGAAATCGCCATTTTATGTAAACGAAATTAAAAATTTTAAGTTTTTCAAGAATCTGGATTCGACATAAATTATAAGAAGAAACCTGTACAATTTTTTTGCGAAACTTGTTTGATCCAAAAAAACGAATATGTAATTTTAAATCTTGTTTTTGTATAAGGAATTTACCCAAATACAGATAGGACATTAACTGTATAAAACATCTGTATTAATTATTGGCTACGACCATACGTTAATTTGGACATTACCAATTACTGCTTTATAATTCATTAATATCTTGTTATCTTCTTAATTGATAGTGAATATGACTTTGGTCTTCGCTAGACAAACCACATTTCATGTTACCAAGCTAAGGTTTGATATCAATGGTAACTTATATATCTACTATTGCGGTTCAAATTCTGTTTGCATATACTTCAATATAACTAATTAAAACATCCACCTTTACAGAAACTCCATGGCATAATCGTTTTAGAACTATTCATAAGAATTTAGTCATACTTTAAGGGATTATAGTGGCAAGCCAAGAATCAAATTAGCATTATGTGTTACAGGTGATATATTTGCCACATATGATTTCTACCTAATGATATTTATATCTAGTTTAAGGCCCAATGTTTAAGTACTAGATTGTTATTGAAATGAACCTTAGCTATTACTTATTTGTTTTTACTTTTTAAATTTAGGTGAAGAAAAATAGTTGTAATATAAATGGGTAATGACACAAACCTATGCAAGATAAAACATATTTAATTTATTTTACGTTCATTGAAAGACATAGTTACGCGGTATCTTTTTCAATTAAATCGTGCATTGAATTTTTCAAATTAAATTAATTTTTTTCAAATGACCGCCCTTGTTTTTCAGTTGTCAGTTTATAAAACCTCAATTATATCCTTGATGAACTCTCACCCTTGTACTAAACACACACGCACACACAAAAAATGGGGGATTCATAAAATTCCTAGTTTTAAGGGATTCATGGTGAAATGTGGATGTGGGGTTCCCTCTAAGATTCGAACTGTGAACAAGCGTAACCATAATAGGGGAAGGAAATTTTGTGGTTGTGGTAAATTTCCGGTACATTTTCTAAACCTTTTCGTCATTTCTTAAATGGTATAGGGATGGTGATCTAATTTTAACAATTTTAATGAATATGAATAAATGTAACAATCTTTCATTAGGGTTCCAATTATCAATTACGATATTTTAATATTTATAAATTGCAGGAGGTTGACTGTGGATTTTTCAAATGGTTGTATAATGATTTCGGTGGATGCGTCGAGTGTGAGATGATGTCAAAAAGGTTGGATGCAATTGAGAAAGAAGGTGAATCTCTAACTATGAGGCTAAACAAAGTGAAGATTAAAAAGGGACAATTTCATGAACAAATATGTGACTTGAAAAGCCAATTATGTCAATCAATTACAGAGAAGAACAAACATATTGCATATACAACTATGACTTTGTTTGCACTGGTTATGTCATGGGCTATATTTGTGGTCAATTATTAGAAAGATGTAGTTAATGCCAAATATAATTGAATAAGATGCATCATAGAATCACTTGTTGAGGAATTGTTAATGCTAAATATTATTTATTTGTTTATTTATGTTATAATAAAAAAAATCATTTGATACATCAATTCAAATTTAATTTTGAAAATAATAAACAAACCTAAATTCAAAAGAATTATTTATCAAATAAATGTTATGACCTAATATATTTAAGGTCATTAAAATATCATATCATGTGATGAAAATTTTGAAAAATTATTTGTTTTCTCAATGCATGCCAATTTTAAAAAATTGTGCCTTCTATACATCGAGTTATCATAGGAAAATTGCTTATTATCAGTAATTGCATCATCAATAACCTAATATAGTTGTAGATATAATGGAATATTTACATATCCTAATTAAGTTCATATAGAATGGGTATATCAATTGATTTTGTTTCCAATTATAACACATGTTAATTAACTTTGGTAACTAACTGTAAAGGTTTTGATAGTAGAGACTCTTCTAATTTAAGTTATGAACAAAAAGTAATTTAACATCAAGTAACTAGAGTAAAGTAAAAAGTTAGTGTTCAAACAGACCATACATTATAAAGACTTAATAGGTGACATGCCACCATTATAATTTTGCCATATTGGGACAAAATATGTGCTAGTACCCAGATTAATTACAAAGTACTACTAAAAATGTCTTAAGATCACAGTTGAGAAAACATGTATACAATCAAAATATATAGCTCCCTGTCATAGATAAGAGAAAAAAAAAAAAAAAAAAAGCCGGAAGCCTAATTATCATCGAAGATGTCATTTCCAGAATCATAATCTTCATCAACATTTGCAACAGTTGCCTTTCTTCTCTTCTATAGTTGTTGCCCTCATCTTCCCAATAATGAACAAACGTAATACAGTTAATTTTCTTGAATTGATATCAAAAAATGAAATAGGTAATAACTCGGATTATACTTAGTCATTACCCATTTATATTAAAACAGAGAATTTTTATCATGAATTCATCAATATAGGTAATATACTAAACACAGATAGTCAATTATCAATGACAAAACAGAGAACAACATGGTCACAAACATAATTAGCAATATACAACAATGTATAAGGTCAATACATATGGAATCAGAGATGAATCTAGGTCAACAATACCAGAATGTCAATAGAAAATGAAAAATAAGTACAATGAAAAGCAGTAATAACCCGGTTTATACTTAGTCATTACCCATTTATATTAAAATAGTGAATTGTTATCTTGCATTCATCAATATAGGTAATATCCCAAAAACAGATAGTCAATTACCAATGACAAAACAGAGAACAACAAGGTCACAAACATAATAGGCAATATACAACGATGTATAACTTCATTACGTATGGAATCAGAAATGAATTTAAGATCAACAATACCAGAATGTCAATAGAAAATGAAACATAAGTACAATGAAAATCGGGTAATAACTCGGTTTATACTTAGTCATTACCTATTTATATTAAAACATAGAATTGTTATCCTGTATTCATCAATATAGGTAATATCCCAAAAACAGATAGTCAATTACCAATGACAAAACAGAGAAAACCTTAACATCACAAAC